GTTTTGACCGTTCCGAACCTCCACTATCTCACCCCGGACAAGTAGTCTAGCTCGTCCAACTCGCCCTCCTGCGAAGGTGGGCGAGCAGGACGAGATGACGGCACAATAGGTTTTGTATGTAAACATTGACAGTTGCAGGTAACCACAAGATATTGGTGGGTAATTTTATGACCCTTTATTAGTGTTATCAAAGGATATTTTTGTGTTTGTCAGTCGCAGGTAAGTTAAATATGCATCAAAGGAGTTACAAAGCCTATGCAGCGTGTAAAATAAAGACACCGGTTTGATAAAAAAAGTGAGCTGGTTGCATTCTGGGCAGAAAGGGTCTTGGAGGTTCCGAACGCGGCCCACTTGTCCTGCTGGTCCTGGACAAGATGTCTGGACGAGCAAGACGAGCAGTTCCGACCGCAGCATAATTTGTCAGCCTGCTCATTGTACTAGAGTGGCCTGGTACCCATATTGGCTTGATTGATTTGTTGGTACTATGTAGCTTACGAATGATGTTACCCTGCAGTTCAATTTTAGTAGTTTCAAATATTTGATGACTTTAGGTGAACTTAGGTGAAGCTTTATGAATTGCAAAAAATAATGAAAATAAAATAAAAATTGATGTATGATTCGGCAGTCTGAAACTCAGTCGACCATGCATCCGCACCCAGACACTCATTTGTCTTGGAGCCGTCGATATGTATATGAAAAAGGAAGATGTTTAATAAGGATCTCTCTGAGCCTCTGACGTACCTCCGCCTCCGGTACCCTGGCCCTGGCTGACGGAAGCCAAGCACCCGCGATGGTAAATGTGGGTCCCTAAGGAGGTATATGAGGTCGTGGAGTCTCATGGTGAGGTGCCTAATGCCAAGGTCTATATATACTTATATAGACCTTGCCTAATGCTGCTAGCTTCCGGGCGCAAATGCCGAAGCAAAGCACTCCTGTTAAGGCGACTGGCTGACTTCCGCTGGATTTGACCAGTTTAGTTGTCTGATAAACTTTCATATTAATCTATATGGTAATTTGATTAAGTTCAGCAGTTTTTTTTTTTTTTTGTCTTAAGCTGCAAGCTGTTGACTTCGGTGTTCACGCTGGATTTATTCATCCATTCCGTAGACCAGTTTAGTTGTTGACTAACATTTCTTACACTTGGGTAAATTGGCGTTCCAGCTACAGCATGGGAAGTATCTAGCTTTTGCGTCAAAGGGCGTCTTCTGTGCGTGCCATAAAAGTTAATCCAGTATGAAAGTTTAATCCAGATCTCTAGTGCGCATGCGCGTTGGCAGCGTCCAGGATCAACTTTTAATGCACCTCTGGGCCAGGCTTTAATATTAAGCTCATTTTTTAATCCAGCACATGCGCAGAAGGGACAAGTTAATCCCACCAATCATGTACTGTTACGTCACGTGTCCGTCATGAACTTCATGGTGCCATCGCTTGAGTTGCCATTCAGACTTATTTTCGGCAATAACATCGATCGTCTTAAAATTTTCATACTTAGTATTTATTGTGAAAATGAAATCGTATATATTTACACAAATGACCAAATATTCTGATAAAGGAAATAACTTAAAATGAATATAAAAATCAATATAATCCACGAGGAATCTTTGAAGTTCAGAGGCTGCGGGCATGGAACTCATATTTCCAGGTTAGTGAAACAAAAATTATGTGGTCAAGGGCAAACAAGTTGACGTTTTAAATCAAATATGAACCAGTGTTTTAAAGAAGAATTTTGTGCTGAGTATTTCTCAACTACTTTACTACAAAATTAACAAGTATAGTTTTCTATGGACCTCTGAACAGCATCCTGAAGAAAACATATTTCCCTCCAACACGATTCAACGCAGCAAAGAGCTGTCCGAGGAAACTGCGCGATGGATATTAATTGGTGAATGTCATTTTTGTACTTGTGTCATTGAAATAAAGATTTGTTTTTATAGTTGTTAGAGCAGTTTCGTTACCCATTTTACTACTATATAATATAAGATAGTTATCATGAAAAAATAGAATATTTATAAATAATCATGTTTCCCTTATAGTAAGCCTACTTGTGCCTCGTAATTATCATATTAAGATCAAACTGCATCTTGAGTAACTGACTACAACTTTCTATAACAATCACCTTTTCTCTAATCTATAAAAAATGAATATCAGTTGTCAGAAAAATTTTAACAATGCAGTGTCTGACTGCAAAATTGCATTTAACCAAGTCATGTTCTAAATATCTACCACATTCATGATATCTCTGATTATAATAGCATTTTATTGCAAGGTATGAGTGTGCTCCAAACCACAAGTAGCATTAGTGTGGAGAGCAAAATCTTGAAACGTTTTATAAATACTTTTTCAACATTCATGGTTGCTTAGGATATTTGATATAATTTCCCACATTTCAGTATGTGTGAAAAAGACACAGGACGTTTGAAAAAACAGAACAGCAATAAAAAGACAAATTCCTCAACAAATAGATTTTTTAAAACTATACCGAAAATACACGACCACGAGACATCATACAGAAATTGAAAATTGATAGAAATTTTAAGAGACAGTCCATTAACTTAAGATTACAAACTAATCATATTGAAACAGATAATCTGAGGAAATGTGTACAGAAAATAGAGGTACGAACTTTCTTACTTCGATATGATGCTAGTCTTAGTTTCAATTTTGGGAACATTGAGAGCATATAATATTGATTAAGAATATGAATAGGTTTTTAATGCCTTGTCTTCAATCATGTAGGTAAGCCTGGGATGAAGGGAAGGAAAAGGTGGTCTTCAGAAGCATCTGAGAAGTTTATATTATTATTTACAGAACACTTTAAAGAATTAGAGGCAAACAGTGCAGAGATAAAATGAATAAGATAATTAGCATTATGAAACTTAGTAAGAGTCTCAGTTTCATGAAATACACATTCAGTATAATAGATATTTTGAAACCTAAGAGTTTTCTAAATAGTTTCTTAAATATGATTACCAAAAAACACACTTACAAAGAAAAAACAAAAACATGAAATCTCCCAAAGAGGCGAATTTCACGCGCGACATTTCTCTTCTCTCCGAAATGTTTACATAATATAACGGTGGTGTGATAGAATAGTGAGTACGACAGTTTTTACTGAACATTATTGTCGCGCCGTCTGGCAGCGGAGAGTGTCGTCTTCGGTACGGACACGGTGGATTAGGATTAAAGTACTTACGGTCTTAAGAGTTAATGACGCGAAAACGCTTACTTCTAGTCTTAAAGACGCACAACACCCAGTTCTCATCCTCGGTATTTCTT